AGCTCAAACTGGTTCATACCATTCTGGTTGGCTCAGGCTGGTTCATACCATTTCATACTCACTCTTACTGCTTTATACCACTTCTTTCTCAAACTGGTTGACAGTTCTGGCCTGTTAAAATCAGATCATGCCTTCTCCGACAGGTTTATATCTGCTCAAACTGGTTCATGCTGGTTCTGACAATCTCTTACTGATTTTGTACTGGTTGTACCCAGCTTCTATCAGGTTCAGACTGCTTTGGACCAGTTCATATAGGGTCTGACCTGCTCATGATCACTATGAGAGTCAGAGCCTATGTGAGCCAGTTTGTACTGGCTGGAAGCAATATAAGCCAGTAAGAACTGGTATAAGCAAGTCCAAACCTGTTCAAACATATGATCCAGTTGGAACTATTATGAACAAGATCAAATCAGTATGAGCCAGTATGAACCATTCACCACCAGTATGTGCCACTTCAACTGGTCAAAACTGTTGTGAACCAGTCAAAACTAGTATAAGACAGTCAGAACTGGTATGAGTCAGTTTGAAGCAGCCATGAATGGTGTGAAATAGTTAGAACTGGTGTAAACCATCCAGAGCCAGTTAAAACTGGTGTGGACTGTTCTGGATCTGAGCTGTTATGAATCAGTTTGAGGTGGCCTGAAATAGTGTGAATGGTCGGAATCAGTATGAAGCAATATGAACTGGAGACACATATCATGAGCTTGTTAGCATTGATATGTGCCTGATGGAATAGGTTAGAACTGGTATGTACCAGTCAGAACAAGTATGAGCCAGTCGGAACTGGTATGAGCTTGTCCAAACCAGTTTAAACTGGTCAGAACTGGTATGAGCTTGTCCAAACCAGTTTAAACTGGTCAGAACTGGTATGCACTGGCTGGAACCTACTGAAATCAGTAAGAACCTATAAAGGGCCAACAAAACTGATCATAATCAGTATCAGCCAATCTGAACTTGTCAGACTGTTATGCACTACCTGGAACTTTCATGCACTGGTTGGAACAAATATGAGCTGGTCCTCACAGGTCAGAATCTGTATAAGTCAATTAGAACTGGGATAGCTTGGTCAAAATTAGTCAAAACTGACATGAGTGGGACCAGCAGTTGGTATAATGGCTATGTCACTGGACTCCCATGTAGTCGACCGCGGTTCAAGTCCAGAACTGATGGTTTAAACTCATGCCGCATGAGTGTGCGTGCATGCTCAAGATCCTGAGAGGAGAATGGAGGAGAAGGGACTGCGGCGTGGCCATCCCCTGAGGGGTGATTTCTTACTTTCTGTCTCTCTGTTGTCTATGGCTTTCTGGCGAATGCACGTGCCCTATAGCCAAAACTTCTCAAAAATAAAATAAAATAAAATTAAATTAAATTAAACTGACATGAGCCAGACAAAACGGGTGTGAGCCACAGGTACCAGAAAAACCTGGTCAGAACCAGTACATGCCAGTTAAAACTAATAAGCCATTTGTAGTCAGTATGAGACAATTAGGACTGGTAGAAGCCTGTCAGAACAAGTATGGACCAGGAAGAACTGATTAGAACCAGAGCCAGTAAAAACCATCTCATACCAGGCAGGAACCAGTAGGGACTAATCACAATTATTCAAAACATGCATAAACCACAAGTTGACTGAAACTGGTTAAAACCAGTCAGAACTGGTATAAACTGAAACAAATAAGAAAGGCATAAATCAGCTAGAAATAGCCAAAATAGGCCAGAAGAAATGAGAAGCAACCAAAAATGGTCTATTCAGAAATGGTCAGAACTATTATACACTGGAACTAGTCAGAACTGGAATAAATCATAACCCTAGCCATAAGCCTAGCCCCTAGCCTCTAAACTCTAACGCTAATGCCTAATGCTAACCCTAATGTGTAACCCCCAATCCTAAAACGTAATGCTAACCCTAAACCATAAACCCTAATCCCTCCCCTACCCTAACTTTTAACACTGAACTCTGATACCTCACCCTAAATCTTAATCTCAAACCGTAACACTAAACCCTAACCCTACCCCAATCCAAACCCCAAAACTTAAATACTAAGCCTATAAACCACACACACTTTACAAACTAACCCCAATCCAATCCCAAATCCAAAAATAAACCAGACATTATGTTATGGGGACATAAATCACAAACCAGTTTTTTTTTTTTTTTTTTTTTTTTTTAATTCTCAGAGAGCACAGGCTTTTGCCAGAGAGAGAGAGAAAGAGATAAAGCATCCTCAATGGGGCATGGTCATGTAGTAATCCCTTTTCCTCCATTCCTGCATTCTTTGGGATGTCCAGCATGTAATCATACCATTATGTTTTCAAGCCACTGGGGCCAGAATTTAAACCTAGGCTGACCACATGAGATCCAGCTCCTTTAACCAGTAGGCTACAGGATCTGCCCAGACCAACATTTCTTTTTCCTTCATTATTATGACCACCACCATTTCTATTTAACATAATAGCATAGTTAACAGTAAATTGAAACTACAGTATCCTGAAAGGCTTATAGTCCATGATCTTTTTGTTGTTGTAATGCAGTGTGTGTGCTCACCAGAGAGAGATAAAATAGAGAAAGTACCTGCCAGGGAAGATGGCCACACTGCAATACTTTCTCCTCCAGTCCTTTCTCAGGATTTTGGGCACACATGTGCAAGTTCACATGTGATTTTTCAAGCCACAGGATCTGGGACTGGAACTCCAACCCCACTGGCAGCCATGTGGTATCCACCATTTTAACTTTCACACCACCTGCTGACTACAAAAGAAATATTTTAAGAGTGAATTCTAAGGTGTGTGAACTATCTTTCCATTAAAAAAAAAAGTCAGGGCCAGCAGGTGCCATGGTGGTTAAGGTGCTGCATATTCCCACATGGCTGACCATGGTTCAAGTCCCGGACCTGGTGGCTTGCTTTCTCATTTTCCCCCTCTCTCTCTGTGTCTCTGTCTGGTCAAATTAAAATAAATGAATGAATAAACAAAATTAAATAATTCTTTAAAAAAAAGTCAGGGAAAAACTTGCCAGAAAATTTTTAAAATTATAAAATGCTTCACTGTGTTACTAAGGCTCTACATTTTTAAACAAAATTATATATATGTATTTTTTTGAGAGGTTTTTGCTTTAGGGTGCATGCGCTCGCCAGACAGACAGACAGAGAGATAGAAAGTGAGAAATCACCCCCCAGAGGGGATGGCCATGCCGCAATCCCTTCTCCTCCATTCTCCTCTTGGGATCTTGGAACGCACGCACACACGCCCGGTGTGAGTTTAAGTCACCGGGTCTGGGACTCAAACTGCGGTAGACTATGGGGAGTCCAGCGACATAGCCGTTACGCTAACTGCTGGTCCCTAAACAAAACTATATTAGGATAATGAGAATAAGAACTTAAAAAAGTTATTCCACAAAAAAAGCTAATTATTTTGGGGCCAGCAGGTTGCATGGTGGTTAGAAGAGCTGGACTCCCACATGGTCAACCATGGCTTGAGTCTAGGACCTCGTAGCCTGCTTTCTCACTTTCCCTTCCTCCTTATCTCTGATAAAACTGAAAAATAAAGATGATAATAAAGTTAAATTTAAAAATTATTTTTAAAAAGCTAATTATTTTTAGCTTTTTCCATTTTAAGAAAATTAAGACTAAAACTCAAAACTCAAATTCCAATGACTTCCGTTTCACTCAGAAGAAACCCCAGAACTTTCTATTGGGCTTTAAAACACACAGGGGCCAGCAGGTGGCATGGTGGTTAAGGGCGCTGGACTCCCATATGGTGGACGATGGTTCCAAGTCCAGGACCAGGCGCCTTGCTTTCTCCCTTCCCCTCTCTGTCTCTGTGTCCCTATCTGGTCAAGTCTAAATAAATCAATAAATGAAGTTAAATAAAATAATTTTAAAAAAATGCACTACACAATCTGATGAATGACTACCTTTCTAACTACTCCTAATCCCTGAATTAACTGTACACCAATCAAATTACACGTCTTTCTGGTTTACAAACCAACCAATATCGATTGGGTATTTGCAGGTCTTCAGAAGAAAAAGAAATAAAAAGATGTCCAATTAAACTTGAATTCAGAGAAATAACTATTTCTTAGTATAAATATGTCCCATTATTATTCCTTAGCAGAAATTCAAACTGCGAGTCCTGCATTTTCACTTGGTAAAAAAAAATCCAGCAACTCTAGACAGAGTTCTTTTCATCACCTGACTGAAAACGAACAGCTTAGCTTCTCGCAGATTGTCAGTACCACTGGTATCTGTCCATTTACTACCTGTGTGACCCGGAGCACGTAACTTAATCTACAAGGACGTCACACTTGAAAGCGACGGATAAAGGGCCCTACTTCAGAGAAACCCTGAGGCCTGGAAAACACACTGGGTGCGGCGTCTGCGGCCGAGTCGGCGCTCACTAGGACTGACTGCACTTTGTTCCTCACGGACTACCACAAAGGCGCGGCTCGGCGTAGGCCCAGGCCGGCCGGAGGCGACCCCAGCACACCTGGGAGGAGGGCGAGCGGGGACCACAATGATGTGAGGAGAAAAACAGCGAGGCTCCCACGCCCGAGTCGACACCGCCAACCACGCTCCGCTTTCTGTAGAACGGCCGCGGCGGACCCAGACAAGTCACCGCCTCCTCCGCGCACAGACACCCGGACGTCGCCCCACCCACTTCCGGCTCCCCCCCCT